AATATAATTCATAACATTGAATAACAAATTTCCGCATGGTCATGGCACGCTACGCTGAATACTAAATAGGTGCGTCACCTTTAATACGGAATGTGTTTACAATGCGTAATGTACAATAGTATGCGCCACTTGACACTACTGAGGTCACTACAGTATGCCCGTATATGGAAAGCAGTGGAAATAAAGTTGGTTGCGGTTCCTGTCGTCCATGCATATCTATAATGTCAACTATTTTTAGAACATAACCACATTACAAGTATATAAACACCCCCTTTCCGCCTTGCGCCAGTCTAGAAGAAAGCTACATTTTTATCAGACCGAAAACGGGGACTTATGATTTGATCTCTGTGTGCGTCCGTGTGTCCATGCTTCCGTGCGTGCGCCCGGACCTGTATCTTAGAAATGCCAGGACCAATCACAATCAAACTTTACACACACATCATACATGGTATTATACATATGCACATCAATTTGTTTCACGATCTGATTCAAGATGGCCGAATGGCGGTCATTTTTGTTCAAAAAATCATCAAAATCAAGCATTCCTCGGCTGTTTACAGATGGGTTTTGTTCAAACTTGTTATATACATTGGACATTATAGAACCTTGATGCACATCATTTTGTTTTTTAGATAAGATTCAAAAAAAATTTCATTTTGCGTTGAATGTTACATCTTATTTTGTTCTACATTTTCGTTGTATATACCATTGTCTTTCTTGTTTCGATCCCATTTTCTCGTTTGATTGTGCGATAGTTGTGTTAGTAATATTTATAAATCATCGTTGGATTTCGACTCGGAAATCAATGTCGTGTCGCCTGCTTCAAATAGTAGGGGCGGATGAAAAGACACTTTTACAATGACGTCACCGGCACACTGTAGTGTAAATAACGAATGCGATTGGATGAACGATAGTAGTGATGAACTGCGCATGCGTACAACCAACGAGTAATGTACTTTAAAACAAATGTTCTTCATAAAATAAAATATATTTTGCAGGTCTAAAAAGTTATCATCACTAATTTAGACTAAAGCGGGGTAATTAAAAGTTTTTTTGCCCACTCCGCACTTATTTTGAAGGTCCAGTAGTCTCCTCGTACATCTTTTTTGGCAGTATTTTCCCGTGCCCGCGAAATATTTCTGTGAATTCCCAACTCTGCCCAGAAATGTGTACAATTTCTCTAACTAAATAGTTCTAAAAACAATATAGGAATACACTCCATCCTCAAGTTTTACAATGCCTCTCACTCTTCAACAAATTTTCTCTGTCCATAGAAAAATGCGAAATTAGAACAACTTTTCGATGAGCAGCTCCATTGACCGCGCCTGATTTAGTCTTGGCCTGAGAACGATATAATCATGTGACCCTGGTCTCAAATGCCATTTCAAACCATCCCAAATATGTTTTTTCATCATGATAGTTGAAATAATCATTGAACTTTATATATAATATATATTCATTGATTAAACAATTTTTTTATTTGTTATTAATCCAAATAAATATATTAGCTTTCAAATATATGATACAGATGATACTATGCCATTTTGAGTTCCAGACTGTGCAGTGAATAAGACGAAATTCAATATCCAAGTGCGGGTGTGACAAAATCTATACTTTACACTGAGTTTGTACTTCTGAATCAATCTTGTGTACAGTATAAACATGTAGAAATGAATGATTAATTCAAGACAATTGAATTAGCGTATATTAAAAAATTTGAATTCATATTCAGCTGTTAGCAACTACGATACAAGAACAGCAGTGGCGGATCCCCGCCAGGGGCCATGCCCCCCCCAAACACATGACGATTCATATCATTGTGGATTACGCATAGCTTCTCTACGATTTACGCTCCGTACGACGGAATCTCTAAGTACTTTATTTAACCAACCAATCAGAACTGGCATAATATATTTACGTTTTCTCATCCAATCATAGAGATCGTTATATTTTGCTTGCAAGGCGGAAGAATCAGGTGAAAGTCATAAACATGTAAATTCACTTTCAAGTTGTGTTGGAATCGCATACTAACGGAGTAAGTCTATATCTTATTTGTCTTCTCTAAAGGTGAAAGTGTTCAATGGTGTACAAATCATCATTTTTCACGGTACCTCCTCGTAACTTGTCTTTAAATCGACATCGAGCACACAGTGTCAGTGCCAATAACGACAGTAAATAAAAGTGCTATAGGTATTTTATTTGCTGACTCACTAACACTGGTGCTACACACACGTAGGGTATATTGTAATACGTGACCACAGTCATTACCTGGCCCGGAACCCTGGCATATCGGCGTAAAAGGACGGCATTCAGTCCTACATATAGAACATAGTCTGTCAACAACCATCACCGTCCCTTTTGATGGACGGTGCAATATCGTTGTTGAGGGACTGTCATTGGATGTTAGTTATAGGGAGGGGAACGGAGACAACATTTGCAAATAGTTTTTCTTCTTCTTGTTGCTGGTGTACACAGCTTTTTGCCATTCCTCTATTAAATGTTTGTGATATTTATTTGTATTTCCTTATTTTTTTTCTCTGTCCTTCTGTAAGATTATTCTTATTCTTTCTGATTTAAGGTAGCAACAGGGAAAATCTGGTGAAATTTTCATGTTTTTTTAATAATCGGTATATCACTTTCTTTTAGTGTATTCTTTCAGTACAACTAAAAATAAAATAGTGCTAATGTTATTTTAGACGCAAATTGGAGAGAAAACTGAGCACAGCAAGCTGACTTCCATTTGCCATTTAAAATGCAAACAACCACTTATCTATTTACATAATCCAAATGATGGACAAATTGTGAACAAGCATTACATTGCTTCAAGTAATCTGTTGTCTCTACAGCTTGGCTGTTTACTATTGTAAATAAAAGCCCATCTTATCAGTTTCCGTTATATTGTGAGTGTCAACAGTTTCCGTATACACACATTCATTATTGGAAGAGCGAACGCACAACCAACACCTTTTTTTTTGGCAAGGCAAAGCAACATCATTTTAACATGAGAAAAAAGAGAGGTCATCAAAAAAGTATTTTTGAACCTATCATTGAAGAGAAACGGGCCCGACGGAGTGGGTGCCGCCGAAAATTAAATCCTGTTTCAGATGATTTAGAAGACGCAACTTTTGTACAGAGAAGATTGATTTGTATAGTGACAGCAACAGCTATTTTGGTTGTACAGTGTTCTTTTGGGGAGAAGCTCTTCCTGTTGATTGAAAAAAAAATTACTAACAATATACTCCTCTTAGTTTGAAGTGGAGGGGTCACCTGCACCTATGCATGCATAGGAATTGAGTCCCAAACGACGATAACAATTTATGTTAAAAATGCAAAGGTTCATGGGTGGCCATCTAGCACATATGTGCAGGTGACGACTTCCCCGCTTTAAGACAAACAGGATCTGCAGAATCTGAGAAAAAAACACTCACATTACTTATGACATCACAATGACAGTTTTAAAAAGGAACAATATCCTGCCTTAACAAAACAGTATTTGATGTAATATATAGAGATAGTGTTATTTGTACCATCGCTGTCTTGAATAAGCTAATAAGTTGTTCAAGAATTTGTTGTTTTTATGCTTTATTGCCTTGCAATGGGACCAGGTGCTGTTGTTGGAGCACATCAGAAATCAAAATCGTAGTTCTCTAAATCGAATTAAGCCAGGGCATCCTGGTCCATTTGCTGACATGTCTAACCTGGCCAGTATAAGGGGTACATGTTGAATCCCGATCATGGCACCTAGCAACTATGGGATACTACATGTATTAATAATCTTTCTCATTGTAAATCAAGTAAATTTGCTGTGAGATTACTGGTCATGTTATTATATATATAAATAATGATTCTCTTTTTTTTTTCCCCCAGATCAAAATGGATGTTTTAAATTCTACCCTATACTAATTTAAAATGACATTATTATAAACATGGATGTTATATGAATAGGACTCAACGTCTGGTCTTCTGTTATTCCTGATTCAGTTACAAATTTTGAGAGAATTTGAATATTAATATTTCTCATGAATATTGGATTGGATATTAAGGTATGTACAATTCTTGTATACAGACCTGCATATTTTTTATTTAATCCATACTTTGGAAGCTATTTTCATTTAGGCGTGTATTGCAGTGTCCATTCTGATGATACTGGCATACATGTTATTTGTGACCTTCTGAAAACATCTGTTGTTATTCTGTATCTATTCTGTCCAGTGTACATTAATCACTGTCAGGTAAATCATACTAATTAGTTATTTCACTTTTCCATAGTCCAGGTATGTTATTTCTGTTGTAACCCCTGTAAAAGTGGCTGGACTTGTTGTTCTCATGACAAGCTGGAGCTGATCATTTGTTTAGACCACCTAAAGTCTGAAGTTATGTGCAAATTGTGTTTATTTATGGGGGGAGGGGGGTTATAGTTATTAGGCTAAATAAATCTTTGGATCTGCCCCTGACAATGAAGATATAATTTTAAGGGATTATGTACACGTTGATGTACACTACCTATAACCTAAACGATGCTCTACCTATATTTGAGCGAACGTTGTGACCCAGCCATGTTGTTGTGCAATAATGAGCAGTCTGTTATTTCAATCAACAGTGTGGTTTAAATGTTTGTATCTCAGTTACGCGAAGAACGTTTATTAGCGAACAACATGTGAAAACACGCTGATAGGTAATTTTCTAGATGAAGATAAACAGTATTTCATAAAATGAAACATTTGTTGTTTAAACAATCTGTACAAGTTTGAGGAAACATTGAACACGACTGTCACACACATTCTTGTTTGTACATGTATGTATGTTCGTACATTGAATTCAATCACTGACCTGACCTGCACATGGTACTGATCGACCTATGTGAATGGCATTCCAATAATAGGAAGTGCTAGGTATTATAAGGGAAAGTATCAAAGCATGTGTTCAATTATTGTGCAAGACATGTACAGTCAAGTCTCGTGTACCAAGAGTCCTTATCAAAAACCTGTTAGCATTAAATTTGTAAAGTAAACCCCCATCTCAACCAAACATCAAATTGTCTTGTTTACCAGTGTGTTTCGTTGAGAGATGTTCTTAATAATAATATTTTCACTATATAAAGTTCTCAGCCCATCATTCATCTAAAAATGCAATTTTTAATTACAATGCAATGAAATAAAATTAAATACATGTACCTG